TGCCCCTCGAGGCCCTGACACCGGGCCCTGCCTTCCCACCCTCAGGAGCACCTCAACTATGTGACTGAGATTGCCCAGGACGAGATCTACATCCTAGACCCAGACCTGCTGGGGGCATCGGCAAAATGAGCCCTCCCCACCCCCACCTCCCCACCCCCGTTTTTGATCCCATTCCCCACTCCACTCCCACAAAAGGTCTCTGGTATATGGTTGTTCATTTTTTTGTTATTTTCTCGCCTGGTCCTTAATGAACAATGAAAAAATTTTTTAAAATGCTGAAAATTCATTCTTCTAGAAGTTGTGAAACAACTATTTCTCTATATCTGCTCTGTTGCTGTGAGAGGGGTGATGGCACAGGCCCCCGCCCTCCCCTGCCCCCAGGAACTCTGAAAGGAAAAAGTGGGCCACTGGTTTTTTTCCCAGAGTCCAGAGCCCTGGCAAAGAGACCAAAACAGTGCTCAATGGAGAGGCTGGCGAGAGGAATATCAATGACTCGGATGGATGACAAGCCAAGAGCTCCCTGCCGCCAGGCCTCGGGGTGACAGCCCTCAGCCAGTGCCCCAGCGACCCAGAGCCACAGGACAGAGCAGCTTCACCAGGAGGAAACCCCCCAACCACAGGGGCTCTCTTGGGGATTCTGGAGGGTTTTCCTCACTCCATCCCAGTCCCTTGGGGGTCAGAAGCTGTTTCCTTGGGAACACAGAGCCCCAGGGTGTTCCAGGTGCTCTAGGACCAGGAACTGGCCGAGTCAGAGCGCAGGGCCTGAGGGTGAGGAGACAGGACTCCGGAGAGTCTGCCAGGTCTGCATAATCCTGCCCAGCTGTGCCAGCCAGGTCAAGCCACTTAACCAATCTGTGCCTCAATTTCCTTACCTACAAGCTGGGGAGAATATAGTACTGATGGCAGGGTGCTGTTAGGGGAAAAGGAGCTGTAAACACATAGAAAAGTGCTCAGCACATGCCAGCTGCCATGAGCAGCAAGAGGAGAGATGCCCAGACAGTGAACACTCAGAAACCACCCAGACTGCGGTTGTCAAACTGGGTTCCTTGTGGTCTCACAGATGCCAAGGGGTGCCATGTAGCTAGGTGGGTTGGGGAGCCGCACTGGGAGGGCAATGCCCCCTCTTCTGTCTCCTTTCCCATTTCAAATAGATCTCTGTGACATGAGGGGTCCTATCTTACAAGGGGGTGTTATAGTTAAATATTAAATGTTTATAGTTGAAATCCCAGTGTAAAACTCCCATAAAAGTCTCTTACAAGACGCCCAAAGCATAGGCTCAGCTGTGCGCACACAGCTCTGTATGAAAATGTTCAGGGCGAGAGCACCAGTGAATTGGACAAAAGAGGAACAAAATGGTTCAGACCGCTGTGTGACCTTGGGCAAATTAATGCACATCTCTGTTCCCGGGTTTCTTCAAGAGCCTGCGGATTAAATGAGTCCAGGCAAACACCGTTCGCATACCTGATAAACACTAAATATGATTTAGTGGCGATTACTTCATCTAAGAGACAATACAGCACTCTGGGCTCCTATTCTTCTAAGTTCTCTGCTAACATTAACTAGTTTAATCTTCATAAGAACCCCAGGAGGTAGGTATATGATTCTGCTTTATGACTGAGGAAACTGGGGCACAATGAGGTTGTGATTTGGCCAAGTAAGTGAAATGACTTGCTGTGGGGTGAAAATTTTGAGCTCAGAGCTCTGGTTTCATTTCATGAAGCTAGTTACTCAACAAAATATTGGCAGTAGTAATAGCAGTAGGGTGGGGAGGGGAGGAAGAGGAAGGGGAGGAGGGGGAGGGGAAGAAGGAGGAAGGGGAGGGGAAGGAGGAGGGGGAAGAGAAGGAGGAGGAAGGGGAGGAAGGGGAGGGGAGAGGGGAGGAGGAGGGGGAAGGGGAGGAGGAGGAGAAGGCGGGGGATGGGGGGATGACTCCCAGACACCCAGCAGAAATGAGGGATGGAGAACCCCCACCTTGCCTGCAGGCTCTGCTCCATTCTGATATAAAGCCAAGCCTCTACAACCTCGGATATTTGTAAATAAATGTACCGCAGTGGAGATAAAATGAGAGAGATGTGAAGGAGCCAGACTAGGACCAAAATTTTGTCGGGAAACAACCGGCCCTGGAGGGGTGCCCTGGGGTTGCAGCCCCAGCTGGGACATGCCGCCTCACTAGGCTCCTACCGTCCTGCCCCCAACAGCGCCACCCCCCCCCCCCCCGCAGGTCGGGTGCCTATGTCAGTACTGAGCAGGCAGCACTGGAACAGGGCCGGTGAGACTCTGCCCTCTGAAGCACTGGTGAGAGACGCAATAAGCAAATGCGTGGACGGGACAGTTGGTAGAGGCCGTATGATGAAACCAGCAGAGGCGCCAGCAAGACCATGAGGAGACGCTGTGCAGGAAGCAGGACGTCTGGGAAAAGGGGTGCAGAGTGAGACCTCAAGGGGAAGGACGTGGAGACCTGGGGGAGAACTGAGCAGATAGCGCAGGTGCAAGGATCCTGGGGCGAGTCTGGCGTGCTGAGGGACAACACGGGTCAGTGGGAGGGAGAGAACCAGGCTGGGCGGTGGGCAGGAGCCAGATGGCCTTGGGTGCAGGCCCACGTGAGCCCGCCCACCCGAGTCCAGACCCTTGGGGGGTCACAGGCAGTTTTGCAGCAGAAGAAAGAACACCAAGTGGTTCAAGCGAGTTGCTCAAGCCCAGAGCAAGCTCTGGGGTCCCCATGCTGAGGAGCTGCTGGCTGGGCCATGCCCTGGTGCAGGCGCTGGGTGGGGGCTGGCAAGCAGGACTTGCCCTGGGGATGCTGGTCCCTCTGGGGAGGGCGGGGCCAGGGGCGAGGCAGCTGCTGCACAAAGCCTGGTTGAGGAAGCCCTGAGGCCTCCAGGCTTGGGCTGGGAGCCAGAGAGGCTTCTTGGCACGCTCAGAGGCCCGGCGGCCAGCCCATGCGGTTTGGGGCTTTCCCACTATTCCTGGTTCCGAGAAGCCTCTGGGGGGTGGGGTGGGTCATGCCCTCCTCCTGCCTGGGGCTCAGGCCTGATTCACACAGTCCTGGTCAATGGCACTATTCACCCCCCCCCTGTACCCCCACTCAGGGTAAGAAACTCCTGTGGCCCCTGGGTTCTGGTCTCCGAGCCCCCAGCACCAGTCCTGTCCACAGCCAACTCTGTCTGGCTGTGTTTTAAGTTCTCTACACCTTCAACTCATTTGACACCGAAACAATTATCGTAACAACTGTGAGATGGCACCACTGCTATTCGGCATTGTGTGGATGAGGAAGCTGAGGCAAACAGCTGAGCCCGAGTGTCCTGCTTCCACAGCCCAGGCTTCTTACCGCAGCCCTCCTCGGCCTCCTCAAGACCTCAGTAACAAGTCACTTCCTTCTGGAAGCCTTCTCTGACACACTTCCAGGAGAAGGCCGTTATGAGAAGACTCAGACAAGCCCAAGTTCAGCTTCCAGCTCTGCGGCCTATGAGCTGTGTTACCTACAATCAGTCACTTAACCTCTCTGTCCTCAGGATTCCCAACATCTTGGCATTGTATGCCGTGTGTGTGTGGAGTTCCTCTCCCCCTGCCTCTCATGCCTCTCTGCTGCCGGCTACTCCTTGAGACAAGCCAGTACGCGGCTCACCTCCCCCCAGAGGCTGCTTCCCAGAAGCAGTGAGCCTGGCTGGCGGAGCCTGGGTGAGTCTTATGCTGCAACAGGACTTGATACTGAAACTTCGCGTTGAATTTTAAAAGGAAGCACCGGAGAAGTCATCTCAGGTGTCTTTGCCTTCGTTCCAGATTGAGCCTTCGTGGCTATGTTTCTGAAAGCCTTGGCTTACATGGAGATTTTCAGGGGCGGGCTGGAGCCCACAATCAAGAGCTGTGGGTTCATGTCCCCCAAATCTTTTGGCAGCACAAAGCTGGGCCAGCTGTTTCACCCCGGGTTGCTGTTGCCGCCTCCTCACAATGGGGACAGCACTCGAGTCTGGGGCGGCGAACATGAACGCGGCCAACATGGCTGAGCCTAGTGGTGCCTGTGTGGAGAGTTCCGGGGAGCCCCGACTCTGAAGTCAGGTCTCCCGGAGCTTGAACCCCAGCTCCCCTGCACAGCGCCACCACCCCACCTTAGGGAGGGGCTGATTGCCCACGTCCCAGTTTCCCTACCTGTAAAATGGGAATAAAGATGTTACCTGGTGTCGAGGGTCAGTGGGAGGCACCATGGAGGATGGCAAGGGTGAGCCCCCCACTGGGCAGGCAGTGTTCCTCCCTGATCAGGGCTGGCCCACCACCACACTGGCCCCCACTCTGACGCCAGCTCTGCCTTTGAGCTTCCAGAGCCCTCCGGAATAACACTAGCAGTAACATGAATTAATTTTAATAAAAAGCCAACGTTTTTGTCCCAGTGGGTAAGAGCTTCGGCTCTGGAGCACGAACTACAGGATTTAACCCTGAGCAGCACGCAGCAAGCGAGTCTGACCTCTCTGAGCCTCCGTTTCCTGTCCCATGGACTGATGATAGATTTATTGAAGGGGCTTGTTGGGAGGCTTGAGTGAGCTGGTAAGTATGAAGGGCGGAACACAGAACACTGGTTCTTCCTCTGTGTGCACAGAACTGCTACCTCCGATAGCATTAGTATTAGAACTAGTAACGCTATTACTGGTATTCTAGTCAGTAAGACCCTTGAGGGTCCAGCCACACCTTTTCCCACTCTTTCTTGGCAGCCACAATTACCGGGACACCCCCCTACCCCCCCAGGCTGGCAGGCCCCGCTGTCTTACCTCACAGCCTTTGGCCATGGCGAAGCCCCCGCCCAGGAGGAGAATGATGTTCCATGGCACCGTGTCCTGGGCCTTCTTCCATGTTAGCAGCGGCTCTGTCTCTGTGTTGGGGGCTGGGCAGAGAGAGCACTTCTCAGGCCGAGGAGGGGACACAGCCCCGCTGGGCAGAGAAGGACCCAACACACACTCAGGACTCTCAGTCTGGGGAGGGGACCCGGGCCTGCAGCCCATCTTCGTGGGGGGCCCTGGGGGCCCCCAGGGAGCCACAGTCTGGCTTTAGCATCTGCTTTTGGAGCGCTAGGGGAAGAAACAAGCCCACAGTCTGCTCTGTTTAGAATAATTTTCATGGCTCCCATGGCTGAGAATTTCTGGAAGCAGCCAGCACAACAGCCTTCTGGGTAAGTGCCCCTTCCACCCTCATTTACAAGAGAAAGGCTGTCTTTGTAACTGTACAGAGAGGGAAAAGAGAGAAGGAAGTTCAGGAGGATAGAGACACACAGGGTATTTTTGGTTTATGGAATTATAAGAGTTTTATTTCCTAAACAGTTTTATGTCCTCAGGAGTAAGAGAGCTTGTGTCTGCCCTGGTTAGCATGAGGTTTATTGGACATTTTCTGTAAGGGCTTAGAGACTTGACCAGTCCCAGCACGTCTGGGCTGCCCTGCAGGCCTGGCAGGCTGGGCAGAGCCCCTTAGATGCCCTCGGAGGCAGGTGATGGGGCCATCAGACCAGTGGGTGAGACCTGCTGCCCCTGCTTGGGGGCTTAGGCCGCAGCCCCCTGACACCCGACCTTGCCCCCTGCTCCCCGGGCTCCCCGGTGACATATTATTAGTAGCCTCAGGGTCCTGTGACCACCTGCGAGGCACTGATGGTGCTGTGAGGGCCATTTCTGTTCGGTCCCCGTAGACCCCTAGCATCTAGAGTGCTACCTGCCCCCGCCCCTGCACCCCCATAAACACTTGTCAAACAACATATGTGACACATTTGCCCCAATGCTAAATGCACACTCCTGAAATGGGACATTTCGCTGCAGGAGGCCACGGGGAGAGGCCTGGCCCTGTCTGAGGGGTTCCCCACCTCTCAGGATACTTCCTGGTCACTCAACCACTGACACTGGTGTCTTCAAATTTTTATGGTGTTATCTAAAGCAGAAATTTATCACCAGGAAATAAAGTCAATAAAAGACACTAAGATTCTCCCGGGCCCTCCCTGGTGACCCCGCGGGTTGAAGCACAGCACTAAAAAGCTAAAGCCACTTCAGCATGAGTTTGACCCTGCCTGGGAGGTGACCCACGTGGCACGGCAGACCTCTCCTGACTGCCCACTGCTCCCCGCAGCAGTGTACTTCGTCGATCTGCCTGTTCTGCTCCCCGCTCTGTCTCTGGTGAATCCTCTAACCGCCCCTGCACCTCTGGCCTGTACCCCAGTTCTGTATGCACAAATAAATAAACCTTTAAAAAAAAATAAGACCCTCCCTCCAGGTATCATGCAGGCTGAGGGTGCAGACACTCAATTCAGACGTCGGCCCTGCCGGAGGCTGTAGGGCCAAAGGCAACATACAGTGAGATAAACAGCTGGAAAAAAGCACAGAGTGATGTAAAAATAAAGTACTATATTACATCTATAAAACAAGATAAACAGCTGGGGGTCTTAGTTAAGACCTTTTGCTCAGGTCCTGGTATGCTGCTTAGTCCCTGGTAGGAATCTTGTCCGGTGTTAACCACGAAGCAAAATGGAGCTGGGTGGGGGGAGGGTGTCCATGAAACCGACCCTGTACCCAGTCCTTGGTCTGCCACTGGGTCTGTTGGCCTCTTGGTCTGTAGCCATGTCATATCTGACGTGCAGCTGCCATTGCTAACCCACCCAGGGCCTGGTATATGAGCCCCTGACTTCCTACCAACCCGGGTCAGTCTCTGGGTGCAAATAAGCTAAGTCAGCACCAGAGCAATTAACCTGCTTGTTGGTGTGCAACTTTTCTCTGTGCCATATAACTTCCACCCAAACTGGAAGAGACTGCCAGAGATGTCGGCAGGCCCAGCCCTTTGTCCTTCGTTGATAAAATATTACTTTATTAGAGAGGCAGCCAAGGTCTGAGAAAGAAAGTACAAGGTAAAAGTGGGACAGAGGTCTGGCAAGGGCCTGAACTTGACTTCGGGAAAAGGCAGATTAAGTGGTGACCTAGCGAGTTTTTCGAAGGCTGCCTGCAGTGCGGTGAGCACCAATTAACCTCAGTTGCCACTGTCTTTTTTATTTTCCCATCGACCCGGGTCCTTGCTGGACGGACAAGCCTTGCCTCTAAAAATGTGAATTTCTCACTTTCCACGTTATGGCAGCAGGCTGTCTAGACAGTGGCTGGAAGCGCAGGCTGTGAACTTGAACCAGATCTGTCCTAGCTCTGCCGCTTTGCTGAGTGACCTGTGCTAGCGACTGGCTCTCTGAGCTTCAGTGTCTCATCTGCACAGCAGAGCAACAGAATCTCCTCAGAGACCTACCGGGGAGATGAAACGAGCCCACATGTGCGAAGAGCACCTCCCCAGTCATTAACTGACAGTCAAAGATGGAGGACTTAGGATGGATCAAGCCCTCTTCTAGACCTGGAGCTGCAGAGGCGGCCAGACAGACAAAGTGCCTCCTTTAGGGGAACTGACATTGCAGCGAGAAGGCAGGCATAAGCCAGCACACAGACATGGTCGGGAAGTTGTGCGTGCTGCGAAGAGAGAGGACAGAGCAGAGAGGGTGACAGGGGAGCAGGCTTTGTAGATGGCGCCGTCAGGGAAAGCTTCTCTGGGGAGGGGACGGCTGGGCAGATCTGCAGAGTGGTGGGGGCAGTGAGGCAGGCAGAGTCCTGGAGAGAGGGCAGAGAGGACATGGAAGGCATCACCGCCATCATCGTTGTGGCAGCTGCCGGCGTGGCTGGCACATGGCAGGCACAGCCTCGATCCTTGCTGAGCGTCACAAAGGGAGAGAAGCCAGGTGCGACTCAGAACCCCGGGGGGTGGAAGACGGGCGTGGTGAGCACACAGAGTCAAGGTCGCCCGCCGCTGGGTGCTGCCTCTGGCCCCGTCACCACATGACAGGCCAGCTGACGTTCGCCCATGGGAATCATGGGAATCTGTGTGTGCCCAGTGGCGGGTACCAGGACACAGCATGTCAGCTTGCATGGCCGCCGGCGACCAGCAGACAGGCCCGTTCCCAGCACAGGCCGCCCTGGGAAGTCCAGTTCCTGGGTCCCTGTGCTGGGGTGGCGGGCTCTGTGTGACCCCGGGCCGCACCCAAACAGCGGAGGTGTCCACCAACTCCTGCTGGTGGCTCATACCATGTTTATTTCTCAATTCAAATCAGTTGCCAATATTTAAAATCAAGAAGATTTCAGAAAATTCCAGATTTTCTGCTTCTCTTGAAAAATCAGCAAATCTAGCAAAACACGCCCTGCTCTCCTGCCTGGCGACACCCCCTGGCAGCCCAGTAACAGCGGCCCTCGCTGAGCAGTGATGGCCAGCTAGCCACAGACCCCGCCAGTCCCGACACCGAAGGTCCTGCCCCTTCGCCTCACCCCTGCCAGCTTCCTCCTAGCACAGAAACTGGGTTCTGCTTTAAAAGTGTGTCGGGGAGATGGTGGGGCGGGGGGGATGCCACCTTTCGTGAAGTAGATTCTTCCCCTGCTGAGCATGCCACAGGTCCCTGGCAGGCAGGTGGGCATCCAGCCTGCCCTACAGGGCTGCCACCACCACAGCCAGGCTCAGGCAGTGTCTCGGGCACTGGTGGGAGCCCGGGCAGGGCGGACTCTCGGCTGGCAGAAATGGCGGCCTGTGGGTGAGACCCCAGGTGAAGGAGACGCTGGACCAGCCAGATGTTTACTCAAAGCAGTGTCCGCAGTAACCAGAGAGATGATGTGGGCGAAAAAAGTGAAATGGTGAGAAATGGAGGGCAACCCGAGACAGAGAGGCCGTGGGCACCAGGGAGCGTGAGTGGGCTTAGGAAGCGGACGCGGTGATGCAAGAGGAAGTGGACAGAGGACGTGAGCGAGGAGGAGGCGGGACGTAAGGAACTGAGGGTGAGGACGAGGCCGACTCGGAGGGAGCAGACGGACACGTGGAGGGTAAACACTGGAAGGGGCCAGAAGCTCAGGGTGTGCGGCGGGCAGCGGCGGGCACTGAGGGAGCAGATGGGTGGGCGTCGGGGGAACAGAAGGCACAAGAGGGAATGAAGCAGAAGCTGTAAGGACCCCAGAGCCAAGACGCGGAGGAGACGTGAAGGGCCGAGACGATGGAGAGACGGAGAAATAACCCCCGGAGTGGGTGCGAGGGATGCTGGTCGGAAGTGTGGAAGCAGGTGGGGACAATAAGGGTGAGCTGGGGCTCCTCAGCCCTCAGGCCCGGCACGCCCGCGCCCCGTGCCAGCCTCCTCAAGGCAGCCACCGCAGTAGCGCTGGGCGCCGGGGTGGGGGGGGGCGGTACCTCGCCTTGTAACACTCCGTCTTCCTCAGGAGACTAAGGCTGGCCACAGGCAGAGGCCCTAGCTCCTTCTTCTGCCCAGGGCTCAGCCGCCCCCCGGGTGGTGATCCGCCACCCCAGTCTCTCACAGGGGACGGGGTCAGCTGACAGACTCCTGCCGGGAACCAGAGGGGTCCCCAGCTGTGATGGTCAGTGTGGAGGTTTTGGCGAGTGGACATGCAGCCTTTGGTGCCCACACTTCCTGTTCTTTTATTAAAGGCCTGGCCCCTTCGGCCACTGAGTTGCAATGAAAGGACCAGAAAGTATTTTGGGCTTTGTGGGTCCAGAGGCAAGGTTAAGGGTTGGTGTAGGTACTTATATAGCCAATGAAAAGAAATGCCCACAAATTTCTTATTAAAACAATCTAAAAACTTTATTTATGGACACTGAAATTTGAATTCCATGGGCTACGTCATGAAATAGTTTTCCCTTGCGTCTTCACAACCGTTTAAAAAGGTGAACGCTATTGCTAGCTCATGGGTTGTACAAACAGTCAGCCAGCTGGGCTGGGCTGTCCGCGGTGGCCACCGGCCCTGCCCTCGGCAGCCTAAGTGCCCGGAGAAGGTGAAGGCTCAGACAGGGGAAGGGATGAAGCATGAAGCAGGACCATGTGGCTAGTGCAGGGGGTGGTCAGGCCCTAGCGGGGTCCCCTGCAGACCAGTCTTCAGGGAACCCCCATCGTGATGCCCCAGCCCTGAGCATCTTACCTTTAAAGTCAAACCACCACTTGAAGGAGGGCCTCTGCGAGGGGAAGAAGAACAAGATGGTGACAATGGCCACACCGGTGACGGCATCAGAAAGAAACCTACAATGACAAGGCCCCACAGCATATGACCCAGACATCTCAGCAGGTCAGGGCCTGGCAGCTTTACCCAAGAGGATGCGGGTTGGGGGAGTCAGCCCCGCTGTCCCGGGGGCATTATGGCAGGCATGGGCCCTTCCTGCACCATGCTCAACGTGGACGCCACCATCCGGCAGGAAAAACCCTCCTCCATGCTCCCTAGGGCATTTAGATGCTGCTTGAGCCAGACAGATGCTTATTCTCACAAATGAAGGACTCTAGGAAGAAGGAAGAACCTGAGAACCCCAAAAGGACCCCCATGAATCACTTAACCGGGGCTCCTGTTAGAGCCCTGTTCTGCTCCTGCCTTTCTCCCGGGGTGTGTGGCTGCCCGCTCACGTCAGAGCTGATGAAGCAGCCCCCGGCCCCTCAAGCACTCAAGCCCACCTTTCAAGGATCCACAGCACATCTTGGGGAGATGTTAAGCTCACAGAAGCTTAGAAACAGCCCTCGAGGGCAGGCACCAGCTAGTTCAGGAATCTGAGATTCAGAGCAGAAGCAACTTACTCAAGACCAGCCCACGGTCCGAGCATATCCAAGTGCCAGGGTTCTGGCTAAAAGGTCAACGGCACCCAGAGCCAGTGGCTACCCAAAGCTGTGCTGTCCACACATCTGGGAAGAAGAGAATTTGAAAGGCCAAGAACTGGAGAAAGACGGCCAATATCCCAGCTAGAGAAAGAGAAGTGGATATGCTCATAGGGACGATTTGTCCGCACTGGCTGGCAAACCTGGAGGGGTGGGGACCCTCACCAGGGGAATGAGGAACCCACACCAGCAGCAGGGAGGGCACCAGGCCAACCGGAGGCGGGGTGGTCGGCCACACGGTTCAAGACGCTCCGTGTAGGAAAGCCTGGATCCACTCATACTTCCAGGGGTTTAGCCTCAGGAAATAATTGGACTCTAGCACACACTTTATGTAACGGGATGTTTATTCTCAACAAGAGTTAAGAAAAGGAAGGTTTTAAAATATATTGTGCGTGTGTGTGTATATATATATACACACACACATACATATGCATATATAAAAGTACATATATAAGTATATATGTGTGTATATATATATCAGTACATATATATAAAAATGATATGTGTGTGTGTGTGTGTGTGTGTGTATGCTGTATTTGCCTACAAGAAAAAAGTCAAGACATCTGATCTTTATGTGCTGACATGGAAATGCAACCAAGATATTTTGCAATTTTTTTTTAAAGCAAGTTGCAGGATTGGACACAGCCCACAAAGTAACTGGATAAAAAAGATGCTCCCATTCTACAGAACATTACGCAGTGTCAGAAAAGGAGGAAGCAGGCCAGAAAGAGCGAATTGCCTGGGTGGTATCATTGTATGTTACAACTCGGGGTTATAGGTGTGCGTGTGGGGGGTCATAGGTAGTCTGTGTGTGCTGCACAGTTCTGGAATACGCAACGCCAAGCTTTCGTTGTGGTCATGTCTGAGTAGTGGGACAGGAGGCAGATGAAGGGCAAATGTCTGTACTTTTCCAAGTTGGCATCTGAGTTTAGTACAGTAAGGACACGCCACTTTTACAGTTAAAGAAAAAAGCCGATCACACTGATGTTTAGTGCCATCACATTTCTGTTTGAAAAATCTTGCATTTAGATCGGTTTGTTTTTAGCTAGTCGGCATGTGTTTTTAAACTTAGTTTACAGATCAAGTTTAAGTGGGTATAATTAACGTGCCATAAAATGCACACGTCCCTGCATTCTGACTAATGTCCAGTCGTGTAGCCCACCACCAAATGTACCAACAGCTCTGAGCAGACATTTTCAAATCAGAAAAGATGTGTATCAGAACTGGAGGCTGAGATGCTAGGGGGATTGGCTTTCTTTGTATTGTTGTGATGTGGAGAACACCCATTTATTCATTTGAAAAAATAACAAAGTACCTACATTTTGGAAAAATAAAATAAAAAAAAAACTGGCTGCGGGTCTGGCTCTCGCGGCTAAGCCGAGTGCGTCCAGCCCGCAGTCTCCGCGGCGCCTCGGCGGCTGCCGCGGCCCATGGGGAGCGTCGGCCGGGCGGGCCGGCACTAAACTGAAAAGAAGATGTCCCTGTATGATGACCTGGGAGTGGAGACCAGTGACTCAAAAACAGAGGGCTGGTCCAAAAATTTCAAACTTTTGCCATCTCAGCTCCAGGTGAAGAAGGCAGCTGTCACTCAGGCCAAGAGCCAGAGGACAAAACAAAGTACAGTCCTTGCCCCAGTAATTGACCTCAAGAGAGGCGGTTCTTCAGATGACCGGCAGATTGTGGACACCCCGCCACCGGCCTCAAGGATCCTGTTCCCAGTGGATTTTCTGCAGGAGAAGTTTTGATTCCCTTAGCTGATGACTATGATCCTATGTTTCCTAATGATTATGAGAAAGTAGTGAAGCGCCAAAGAGGAGCGACAGAGACAGCGGGAGCTGGAAAGACAAAAAGAAATAGAAGAGAGAGAAAAGAGGCGTAAAGACAGACATGAAGCTAGCGGGTTTTCAAGGCGACCAGATCCAGATTCTGATGAAGATGAAGATTATGAACGAGAAAGGAGAAAAAGAAGTATGGGCGGAGCTGCCATCGCACCTCCTACTTGTCTTGTAGAGAAAGACAAAGAGTTACCCCGAGATTTTCCTTATGAAGAGGATTCAAGACCTCGCTCACAGTCTTCCCAAGCTGCTATCCCTCCCCCTATATATGAGGAACCAGACAGACCCAGATCTCCTACTGGGCCAGGCAACTCCTTCCTTGCCAACATGGGTGGCACAGTTGTGCATAAAATCATGCAGAAATACGGCTTCCGGGAAGGCCAGGGTCTTGGGAAGCATGAGCAAGGGCTGAGCACAGCATTGTCAGTAGAAAAGACAAGTAAGAGAGGAGGCAAGATTATCGTGGGCGAGCCACGGAGAAAGATGCATCCAAGAAGTCAGATTCAAATCCATTCACTGAAATACTTAAGTGTCCCACTAAAGTGGTCCTACTAAGGAACATGGTTGGTGCAGGAGAAGTAGATGAAGATTTGGAAGTTGAAACCAAGGAAGAATGTGAAAAATACGGCAAAGTTGGAAAATGTGTGATATTTGAAATTCCTGGTGCCCCTGATGATGAAGCAGTATGAATATTTTTAGAATTTGAGAGGGTTGAATCAGTAATTAAAGCTCTTGTTGATCTGAATGGAAGGTATTTTGGTGGACGGGTGGTAAAAGCATGTTTCTACAATTTGGATAAATTCAGGGTCTTGGATTTGGCCGAACAAGTTTGATTTTAAGACCCAGAACACAAGTCACCTCCCGTGACCCTTAAATGAACTGCAAGCTGAGCAAAGAAGAAAAAGCCAGTCTACATGGCTGTTGGGTACAGAGATTCTTGGAAACACTTCTAAGATATATGTTCATTGATCCCTTTTTTATTTTGTGGTTTTTTAATATAGTATAAAAATCCTTAAGGCCCTCCCTGGTAGCGCAGCGGGTTAAAGCACAGCACTGAGAAGCTAAAGTCACTTCAGCATGAGTTCGATTCCCGCCTGCCCTGGAGGTGACCACATGGCGCAGCAGACCTCTCCTGACGCGCCCGCTGCTCCCCTCAGCAGTGTACTTCGTCGATCTGCCTGTTCTGCTCCCCACTCTGTCTCTGGTGAAGCCTCTCACCCTCCACATGTCTGGCCTGTACCCCAGTTCTGTACGAATAAATAAATAAATCTTAAAAAAAAATCCTTAAAAATAAAAATAAAAATAAAACTTCTTTTGGCTTCCTGAAAAGATACTGTTTTTTTCTCATCACATCCCTTGTGAGATCAAAAGTTATCTCACCCACTTCCCTGAGGGGCGGGGCCTGCGGGCCTCAGGGTAAAGTGGAGAGCTGCGAAGATGTGGTTGAAGGGTAACCCCATGCCAGATTTTGAAGATTCAGTATGGGGGAAAGAAGGTAGACTATCTCAGTAATCATCTAGTGTATGATTCCCTGTTGAAATAACATGCAGCGTTAAATAAAATATATTCTTAAAACTAATTTCACCTCCATCTTTTGACTTTTTAAACGTGACTACTAGAAAGCTTGAAATTACAGGTGTGGGTCACATGATCTCTCTGGGGGTGGTGCTGGCCCAGTGGCCCCCTCACGCTTCCTGGAGCACCCCTGTCTAGCCCTTTGCTAGCCCACTGCTTCAGGCTTTCCCGAAGCTGGTTTCTTCTCTATTTCTCCTCTACCCAGTGCCCAAGTACTGGGATGCTTAAAGCCTTCTACACTCTCGCTATACGCTTCCCTAGTGGTGGACCCAGCGATTTTTTGGTACTTAAATTTCAAATTTACACAATGACTCCAGACTGCTCTCGGCAACCTGATACCGCCTCTGCAGAATGCACTGCGCTTGAAAGCCCTATTAGACTTGCTAAGTCTAAACCAAGTCCAAAAGAGGGTTGGTAGGTTGCTAACCACCCTCAGCTCCCTTAAGAATGTTCTTTGCCAGCTAACCTCCCTCTCCGCAGGTATTCCTCCCTCCCCCCAGTCCAACCCCATACCAATCCTGAAATACATCTTGATGCTCCAACCCCACGCCCACTTCCATTTAGGCCCTGGAACCTTCCCCCTAGAATGGTATCTGCAAATATCTCTGTCTTCGCCGCTCGCTTGCTCTCTGCCGCGACTCAGCGTTGTCACCGTCGCAGGAAGGAAGTCACCTACAATGCGTCACTGAACAGGCGTGGCCGTGTTCCAGCAAGACCTGCTGAATGAACGCTAAAATGTGACTCCACTTTCCCGTGCCACAGAACATTGTCTTTTGGCTCTTCCATTGCCCTCCCAAAGTGTAAAAACTGCTGAAAATGCAAATGCAAAACTTGTGTCTAGGCTTGGCCAACCTTGTCCTACATGGTGGGGTCACTGAGGTGGGGTCTTACCTGTTCCCTCCCACATATATTTTGGCCCCCACTATTCACTCCCTATTAAATATAGCTAAAATCTTGAGTTCTCCCCATGGCTATTCTAACACTTGACGTGTATTAATTCAAATCCTCACCACAAGCTCACGAGAAGTGCCCATCACAGTACCGTTGAACAGATGAGGACGCTGAGACACAGGCAGGTTAGGTGAGGTGCTCCCCACCGCTCCCCAACCTTTTTCTGGACTTGGTGTAGATGTAGCAAGTCGAATAGAGCTTTCAAGTGCAGTGCGTTATGAAGAGAAGGTATCAGGTGCAGAGAGCAGTCTGGAGTCATTGTGTAAATTTGGAATTTAAGTACCAAACCCCAAATACTTAATGCACTGACAAGTTCCTCACGCTCTGGCCCTCCCATCCCCATCTCACCGACCCCCTCCTTTCACAGGGGCTCCCCTCAGTCCTTGGCCAGTGCCAAGTAGGTCCCTACCCAGGCTTTGTACCAGCAGACATTCCCAGGAGTATCCGGCTTTCCCCCTCCTCTTCCCAGCCTTGGTCCTTCCCCAACCTCTCCAAATCTACCCCTCACCCTGTTCTGAAACAGGCGTCTCACCCTTCCATGCCCTCTCCACAACCTGCCGTTACTTGGTTTCTACTTGTTTTTGTCTCTCTCCCACAAGCAGCATCATGCTTAGCACGTAACGGCTCCCAGTGTCGTCAGTGGACCGAGTAGAGGGAGATTTACTCTGGGTCAGAAGGAGTGGAAATGGCAGAACTGGAATCAAACGCAGTTTGGTCGGATTCCAAAGCCAAAACTCTGAACACATGAGACACCAACTATTTTATCATCCAAACCTAAAATACATTGCGAGTAGCATGTATTACTGTCACTAATTGCTTGGGGTGAGAGCTGCAAACCCGGCAGTTTCCCCCTGGTCTCCCCAGCTCGGTGGTTCTTGGGGCCAACCGGCCCCTGGCACCTGCCCTACTGGCCTCTGTCCCACAGGTCCCCAGAGTCTCACCCAGGGGTGAAGAAGCTGGCCCAGCCGGGGATGAACTTCGGGTCCCGGGAGAAGAGGAGGATGGCGAACATGCAGAAAAGGATGAAAACGGCCTGCTCAGCAAACCTGTGGCACAAATATGCAGGCAGTGGTGACCACGGGCATGGGGAGTCCCCGTGGGTGCCCGCCGGGTGTCACTGGGAGGGTCCTTTCTCTGAGAAGCGCAGAGAACTGTCACATCTGAGAGCCTCCAGAGGGAGGGAAAGGGTGCCCCTCGGCCCAGGATTCTTCCCAAGCATCAAGTGCCCCTCCTCCCAAAACCACTTATGCCACTCTTAGCTGGAAGGGTCCTAAGGAGAATCAAAAGAGAGGGACAGAGTGAAAGAGAGTCAGACGAGCAAAAAGAAAATCAACGGCTAGAAAGAGAGGTGGGCAAGAAGAGAGAGTTAGACACAGAGAGGGATAGACCCCGAGGGGGACACAGAGAAGGGTAGATGGAGGACCACCCCAGTGTTGAGCACCCGACGTGCCCAGGCAGGGTCAGGCATCCAGAGAGCCAGGAGTGATGGGTGACTCAGGGGATGAGGAGGGGTTTTCTGGGCCCCAGCACCAGGACAAAAAGCTGACGGTGAAAGCTGCCTCCTGAGCCAACCCCCCTCTCCAGCCTTCAAAGCCATTGGCCCTGAAGTGGGAATCAGTCTCCCAGGAGTCAGGCCGCGGTAGTTCTCCTGACACTCTAACCGCCTGCTTTCCCCACCCTGAGGACCGCCATATCACGCACTTGATGGGCCCCAGATTCTGGAATTCCTCTCGAATCACTGCTCGAGCCCTATTTTCTGCATCACTTCTGAGTTCAGACTTCTTCCTCCAGCCCCTGGAACAGAAAGTGCGAGGTTAGAGGTGCCTGTGTCAGGCATGGCTACCTTCTCCCCACCCACTGTCACCTAGCCAGGCCTTGCATCTGTGTCCTGGAGACTGACGCAGCCTGATGAGAGGTCTCCCTACCTGTCCTCCCTTTCTAGAACGTGCTCTCCCCACTTACTGACTGGATGGACATCTAAAAATGTGAATCTGATCATAAGACTTAAAATCCTTTAGGGCTCAAGCAGACAAATCAATGGAAACAAAATGAAAACCCAGAAATAGACCCAAAACACACAGGAGATTTAGTCCCATGGTAAAGTTGATGTCTCAGGTGGTTGTGGGAAAGATGGTGTTGAACACAGAGGTCAGAGGAACAGACTTGAGAGCTCAGAAATGAAACCTGGTTTTGTTGGTCAGTGACAAGGTCGCCGGGGCCATCAGAGGGAAAAGAGAGATGTTCAACAAGTCACATCAGGACAACGGAACAGTCACATGCAGAATAATGAGCATGGTGCCTACTTCCTACGATGTATAAATTTGAACTCCCGGCCCTCCCTGGTGGCGCAGCGGGTTACAGCACAGCACTAAGAAGCTTAAGCCGCTTCCGCATGAGTTCGATCCCTGCCTGCCCCGGAGGTGACCCACATGGCCGGCAGACCTCATCTGACCCGCCCGCTGCTCCCCTCAGCAGTGTACTTCGTCGATCTGCCTGTTCTGCTCCCCACTCTGTCTCTGGTGAATCCTCTCATCCCCCTGCACCTCTGGCCTGTACCCCAGTCCTGTATGAATAAATAAATAAATCTTTAAAAAAAAAAAAAAACCTGAACTCCCAAGGCACGAAGATTTAAATATGAAATTAAAAAAAAAAACACAGGGGAAATTTTTCATGACCTTGAATTAGGCAACACTTTCTTAGACACCAAGAACCCACACAACTAAAGATAAACTGGACTTCATCCAAGTGAAAGACTTTTGTATGTTTGGCAGCCTCGGGACAGCTGAGTGGCCATTCGGAACCAAAATATGATGCTGTATTCAAACTTTATCCTGTGCCCTGAAGATAAATTTCAAGCACAGCAATGATTTGATCATAAAACATATAAAAATACTGGGAGAAAACATGAGATTTTAAAAATATAGCTCCTGTCACTGAAATTTTTTTCTAACTGTAATTGAAAATCCAGAAGCCATATGGGGAAAGATTGACAAGTTCATCTACATGAAAAATTTCTGAACCACTCTGCCTGAAGGAAAGAACTGTGGGCAAAGAAAAACATGAATCATGCAAAGCTATTTGAAACTCATAGTGAGAAGAAGCACTAATCTCTCAATATCTAAAGAATATTAGAAATCAGAAAGACCAACAATCCATTTGAAAAATATGGAAAGGAGATAAACACAGTTTAACGGCTCACAAGAAAGGAAATCCCTACAGTCCCCAGGAGTATACGGAAGCTTTTCATTTTACCCCTCAATATGAAGAGTTGCTCAAAAATCACTGCTAATAAAATACTTTTTCTTTTTTCCCTATTCTACTGGCAAAAACCACCTTACTATCTGGAAACAGACACTCTCATATCCTGTAAAAGGGAGAGCAAATGAGTAAAATTCCCAAGAGGGACAATTTGACATAGCTAAGAAAATTGTCAGTCAGGTCACATTTATGAAATTTATCCTACCAAAATATCTGTTTATACCCAAAATGGGGTCCATCACAGGAAACAAGTCTGTATCTGAATTGGTTTGTATTTGCTTAAGGAGATGCTGGAAGCCTGGAGTCCTAATCTCGCGGTCTGGCCTCGGAGTGGCCCCTGCTCCGCGGCCGCCTCTGAGCAGCGCTGGCCCTTAACCCCTGGCCTCTCGCTCCTGCGCCCACGCTCACACGTGCGTACTCGCGTGCTCGCTGGGCCACGTGTCCCCAACCACAGGGCCACGTACGTGCCAAGCCCCTCAGCCACGGGATCCACACAGCAGCGAGAGGGCAGATAAAAGCCTGAACTCATGGTTTCGCTCATAGCAGGAGCATAAAGGACCAGGCGAGAAAATAACAAGAATAATGAGCAGCCATATACCAGAGACATT